CTCCCTACCCCAATCTATCAGACTATCACCTACTCTCCTCTCCTTTAGGTGCACCCTGCAAACGCATCTCTTTAGGGAAGCCTACCCCACCCCCTGTAATTCCCGACCTCCTCCACTCTTCCTACCACTCCATCCCCCACAGCTATTTCCTCCTGTGCCACCATCCCCTCCCTCCTAGATTGTAAGCTCCGAGGAGCAGGGCCCTCAAACACCTCGTGTATCGCATTGTATTGTTATTGTACTGTCGCATGTTCTGTCTCCCATTGTAATGTACAGCGCTGAGCAAACTGTTGGCGCTTCATAAATGCTGTATAATAATAATAATAATAATAAGCTGTCCTCCATAAACCTGCACAGATGCTTTTCTTTCCTTCAGTTTTTTTTTACTTGAACTTCAGCATGTGAAGTCTGAAGGACACAGTTCTGTACAGTGCCAATTTACTGTTCATGTGAGGAAATGCTGCATGAAATAATGGAAAATAAACACATTCTGAAAAATGGGAGGGAGAGCAACCACAATCTAATGAGTTAAATTACAAGGGTCCTTTTTACTTATAATTATTTCACAGAACACAGATGGAACAGCAGGATACACAAAATTCATTCCCAGCCCGATAAAACTGCTTAATAGAAGCTGCACAAAATGTCAGGTGTTGTTGGTACCTTGGACAGCTCCATTAGTGCTATGGGAAAGCTCCAGCATGCTTCGGATGACTATTCACAATCGTTTGAGACACAGAATGTAATACACTATTTTTGTGATGTCATGGCCATTGAGAAAACTCTACAATTGTGTTTCCTTATGTTTAAAGTGGACCTGTCATAAAATTTCAAATCTATTTTCCCACCATGACTAAGTAAAGGCAGTAGAGAAAGGTTATGTGTACACTTTTTGGTTGTGTTTATTGACCTATTTCAGTGTCAGTTTACAAAGTCAGATATGTTTTTCTTTTACAGCCATTTATAATAACATTGTGATTATTTTCACATCAAAATGTTTGGGTCACAAAAATACCTGTTGATTAGGCATGGAGTCCTTATCTTTTGCTTTAAATGAACCTTTATAATATTGCTATCCTTTATATGAACCCATATTTTAATCTCAGGAGTCCCTTTTAATTTCCACCTGAAAATTTGGCTCTCGACGAACACCTCATAGAAACTCATTGGTAATGCCAGTCAGACAGTGGTGGTATATTAAGGAGAGAAAACATGTGGGAGACTATTCTCTAATTTATTTTTTATGCACAAAATATTGCACAAATCAATCGTGCATGCAGTAAATTGTGCATAATGAGTGTTAAAACAAAAAAACCATGAGTATTGTTTCTGTGAGCTGAAGATTTTGAATCCCATGTCACTTGGTGCGATATATAGCCTCACAACGAAGTTGTCTAATTTGATCAATGAGCAGGCTTAGGACACGGTGGTGGAGATTTACTAAAACTGGAGCACTCAGGATCTGGTGCAGCTGTGCATGGTAGCCAATCAGCTTCTAACTTCAGCTTGTTCAGTTAAAGAGTTACTAAACCCACAACAGTAAAATCAGTCTCTATGTACAGTAAAGCATGCTTGTTATACTCACTGTGGAATCTAAGGGGTTAATCCTCCACATTGTGTAAAAAGGCCGTTTGATCCCGTCTTCTCTGCTCCTCCTCTTGCTCTAATGTCCACATCTTATTTTCTGATAAGACAGTCTGAACCGTAGCCATTCACATGCTCAGTCTAGTGTGCATTGCTAGAGAGGTTTATTTTTTGTTGCGAGAGTGCATGTAATCAGCACAGGGCCAATCAGCACTGTTCAGACAGAGGTCAGGGGTTTTGCATGCTATTAGAGCAGAATGAAAACTCCTCTTACAAGCTTTAACCAGTGCTCTGCTGAACACTGATAGAAGTCACAAGACTGCTCTAACTGCTGGTGAGAAAAGGTATTTAGCAGTTTATATTGACTAAAATAATTGCATTTCCATGTTCTGTGTGCTGTGGGAGACCAGATATAGTGAATGCAGGGTCCTGGGTTTAGTAACACTTTGAGCTTTGACAATAAAACCTGGAAGCTGATTGGTTTTTATATAGAACTGCACCAGATTTTGCACCATGCTGTTTTAGTAAATAACCCCCAATAATACATTGTGATGTTCTTGACGAGCAAGGTGTATAACACCAATGGTTAACCAGAATTACAAAGTATTTATCGGGTAAATCTAATTGTATTTTAACTATTTATTTACATGTTTACCCAGTGTTTCACTTTATATCCTTCCATAGTCAATACAGCAGAATGCTGTAGCATACAGTACTCACAGAACAAGGCCTGTAACCACTTCCATTTGTCATCTGACAGTGATATTGGCTTTGTGCTTTGCATTCTGCTTAGACCTGCACCCCTCCTAACCTTACAACCAACCACACGAATAACAATACATCCATCAATTAATGATTGTTTTATTTAGGAAAAACATATCCAACACACAAACAGTAGTGCTTTTAACAAGCCTATTCTTTTCATTGAACATTTGCACTGTTCAGCAAGAATGTGTTAATCTGGTATTGACTTTAGCAAATAATACACATGCAGGCTTAAAATGTTTAAAATATGTGCAAATGTAATTGAAAACATAACTCTGCATATAGGTTAAAATAGGATTTTGTGCATATTTGTTTCTAATTTTATCCATCAGGTGCAGGTATAGGCAACTAACTAGGAAAAGCAATCAACACATCATTGAAGGTGTAAAGAATAACACCGTATGTGTCATCTCTTTGTGAATGCACTGGAGATGAGAGGGATATTGGGGAATCCCTTGTTACATAGGCTTGCCAGGCAGAAAAACACTTTGATATTCACAGCAATATATAACTGCTAGTATTTCCAATTCATTGTTGAGCATGACCATTCATGTTGTTGATGTTCTCGTTTACTGAGTTTAAAGCAATCACTAAAGCTGGCCATAAATTTGACATTTTTATTGTGCAATTGTCTTTTAGATTTACTAAAAACGTATAATATGTGGTCTAACCTAAACAACACTTTCAATTTGCATCCAGTCAGGCAGGCCCTTGCACTATATAGTTGAAGGTAAATCCGAACAAAATTGTTGAAGGAAATTGTAAAATGTATGGCAAGCTTAAAGCAGATCTTCACCCAGAAGGGGAAATGCCACTCTTCCTCCCCCCCCCCCCCCCCCCTCCTTTACATTTGGTACTTTATTGTTTTGGGGGGGGGGGGGGGTAACTGCTTTTGGCATCCAAATAACCAAATAAATGTGCATGTGTGAAACAAATTTCTTTTTTGCATAAATAATACAGTTCATTCATGGGTTATCCATGTGATAAGAACGTACATTCTCAGAATCATTCAAAACTATTCCACATCAAAGTGTGTAAACAATGATCCACCACCACAGATTCCTGAAATGCTTGACAAAACCACCACCTTGAAGGTACAGATATAAGTTTATCAGCATCAAAGACCCCCTAATTATTGAGAAGTAATGGCTCAAAAATTGATCCTCAGGACTGCATCACTCTCGCTGGTGTTATTCGGCACCATCCATGGATATTCTCCTAAATATCTTCCTTTCACCAGCACCCCTGTAGCACTCAGAAGGCAACATAAAAATTAATAATCCACATAACATAAAATCCTTAAAACATTAATTAAATCTAATACAAATGCCCTCACAAGCATTTAAAAACAATTGTAATAAAAACAGCAATAAGAAAAATAATCTAGCCAGCAAACACAGCGATTCTACCATCACTTCGGGTTTACTCAAGGACATCAGCATGCAGCTCCACCCTACGCGTTTCGATTCAACTAACTTCTTCCGTGGCTCATAATGTGGTTGCAGCTGAAGTAATTGACATGGTTTTCTGTTGTTTGATACACAAGTACAGTTTTTTTCTTTTTATGATTCTTTTCACAAGACTCTCTTCTATTATTATAAATTCCATGCCCTTTCAAAGATACCACCCCAAAACACAACATAACAGTTGTTATAGCAAGAATTCCACAAACGCACAGATCCCCAGCCCTGCTTCCTAACCTGTGTTGTATTGAGTATACAGCAGATGCTTCAAAATTAGGGACCAATAAAAATGGGACTGGTTGCATCATTACATTATTTTGTTTTTGTTGTTGTAACTTTCAACCATTGAACTAATCCAACACATGTACACAATGTCTTCTTTTAATCACATTAAAGTCTGTGAGGAAAAGGATATAACATGGTTGGGAGATCAAAAAGCTTTTTGGAATAAACATAATTCACAGATGCCCTAACCTAAGCATGAGCTTTGTCATTCAAAAACCCACCAACATCCGAAAATTTTAGAGAAGCACCCATAAACCATCGCCATGGCCATAACCCTAGCCCCAGAGGCTGCATTTTTATAAATATCAGCATCACGTCAACACAGGCAGCATTTGGAATTGAGCAGTTGCTTTCCTAAGAACGGTCAGGTAATTGGGCAAATGCATGCTTTATTCAAATGGTGGTAATATTTCATTATCAGGTTTGTTAAAAGTCAGTTCCTTTGAGTTTGGCACATAATAACAAAACACGACAATGCAATATAATGGTTATATTATAGTAGGTTTATGTAGTGAAGTGGTTTTAGTAGTAGGTATACAGTTTTAACCTCCCTAGCGGTATGATTATGTCCATATTTCTGTGCTCAAAGCGGTATATTTTTTTACATGGAAATATGTTTTTTTTTTAATTGTAGGCCTGTAATTTTTAGGAGTAACTCACTGAAATCTGTCCTAATAAGAGTCTAGTAAACATCCCGGGTAGGATAAAACTTGAAACACGAAATCATAAATTATAATTTAATAAATAATCATAAAAAATAATAATATAATAGTAAAATTTAATTCAATAATATAATCAAACCAAAAACACTGAAATTTGAAATATAGCGCCAAGTTCGCACATCACTGAGCAAAATCGCAAAAATCGTTTTCAGACGAATTTCCTCACGAATCATTATCACTCAATTCTACAAGTAGTTCTGATTTACTATATCTGTTCTCTAGCTGGTATAAATCCACTTTTGACCTAAAGGGACGCTTTTTGGACGCCATGGACTTTTCTCGGTTTCCAGGCAATAAGAACAGTAAAAATGCAGGCAGGGCACAGGACAAAGCACTAGGGACAAAATGTATGTGAAATGGTTTGATACAGTAATGTTTTACTATGTGATTTTAGTGAATGTCACTTTTTGTCATTTTCAAATTTCCCGCCGTTCCGTCCCCCGTACGTCCCGACGCTCGCAGGGGACGGAACCCAGATGACAGATGCCGGCATCCGCCGGATTACATTGCTGGGGACACTGCAGGAGGGTCATCGCAGGAGCGCAGGACCAGGTGAGTGATCGAGGGATCCCAGAGCAAAGCTGCATGGTAAGCCCGAGTGTAGCTCGGGCTTACCATTTGTGGTACTGAAACTTTACCCCGAGCTACACTCGGGAATACCGCCAGGGAGGTTAAGTTTTGGATCAGTTGTAAAAAGTAAAATGAATAAAGCATATTTCTCACACAATACAGGCTGCACTACTGGAGTACCATGAAAGAAAGAAATGTTCAAAAAAGTAATTGTACTCATGGGAAGTTGATTCTGGTACAAAGCATTTTTGGATCCTATCACTTAAAGCTGAACTCATGAAAAGCACTCAATACTTATATGTAATAGATATATGCAGACTGTTTTACACACCAAAGGATTTGTGGGTTTTTTTTTTGCCAGACTTGTAACCCAGGCACCCCTGCCAGACAGCATATATACATTTTATAAAGTTTGTGATAGTGTGAGGAAAGGTTTTTTTTTTATTGTAGTCTGCAGTCCTAGTGACTATCTGGGACAAATTCGAATATAAAACAATTCTAAACTTTGGAGTTGTCACTGAAGCAGGAGATGAAGGGAAATCTCCCAAGATGCAATTAGAAAGTTCCCCAACAGGCAGCAAAAAATAAACCGAATGCCTTATTACCCAATCCGTACTCTATCCTAATCCTATCCTTTCTATTGTGATAGCTGCACCAGGTGGAAGCATGGGAAAGGCCACCTTTGTGCACTCTCAGGCTACTACACATCCAAAATTAATACTGCAGTATAGCAAGCTTGCTGATAAATTGAGACATTCTTGCATCTTGCAGCAATACATTGACAATATAGCTCCACAACTGTCTCAGCTTTTACAAAGCCACCAGATGGCACCATTATCTATTATATAAAAATAGATAAATGATTGAGGATCCAGTTGAGGGTGTCACCTTTGTTATGGCCTTATGGTAGGATTGTAGAAGGCTGGAACACAAATGATTGCAGAGAATCCTCACCTCTTTATTCTTGACCAGTGGTCTGCAGACTGCGGCCTGAGGTGGGTGAGGACCTTTGCTTGCTTTTACCAGGTCCATGGGGCATTACTCCCCCTACTATCATCAACAGTGGGCCATAGTTCCTGCCACAGAGACCAACAATTGGACACTATTCCTTTCCTCCCACTTGCATCAATGATTGGGTACTATTTCTCCCATTGATAACAAGGATGGAGCACTGTTAGTCCCCCTAATACCAGTAAATGGGCATTTTCTACTCCCACTGGCCACAGTCTGGCCCCCCTAAAGTTTGAAAGACAGTAAACTGGTCCTTTTTTTTAAAGTTTGGAGACCCCAGTTCTAGACATATGGAAAATTGATATGTAATTCCATTGACCAGAACCCATACAAAAAAAAAGTATTTTGGTAGCGGTTCCATTAAACATTTTTTTTTCTTTTTAAGATGCAATTATTCAGACCCACCTTGTCTTCTGATTCATCTTATTTACATTCTGCCTTTTCAACCTGTCCCTTAATGAGCGGACCCAGATTTCCATTGTAAGGGTGGCTTCTTGGCTTGCATGGCCCTAAAAAGCCACTCTAGTGTGCACTTTCCTGGGAAGAGTGGCTTAAATACTCTGCCTGTGAAAATAGGACTAAGACATGCCTGTATTTATCTGATTGGCAGCGGCTGGCACCATGGTGGCACTTTGAATTATGATACCTGTAGTGCTGAAGAAGGGGAATAAGTTGATGCATATGAAAGGATAAAATCAGAAGTTCAGAGAGGTGGCAGAGAGGGACCCAGAGGTCATGTTTATCAGCAATAATTTAATGTGTTGTGCTGCATTTCTCAGTACAGATGTAAATAAAATAACACAGAGCCTTTAGTATTACTTTAAAGTGATATTAAACTAAAAAAACAAAAATGTATTAAATTGCAATTGATCAATTATTAGATGCAGTGACTGCATTAGAATTCTTTTTTAAGCTTTTTCCTTTGTTTTCACCTGGTGAACCAGCCAGTAAGTCTGTTAGTTTTCAACTTAGTTTAGCAGACCTAGCTGTCCAGACAAAGTAGCAGTTAGAGGATTGAAACAGGCCATTTAACACTGATAGGGGTGCTTACAATGATCAGTTTGTATTCATTTATGTAAAACCTTTATCCCCCCAAAAACTGTGGCTGTAACTGCTTATAAAATGATAGCTGGAGTTCAGCTTCAATTTGTTAGCCATCTAAATTTGCTAATCTAACACTAATAACCCCAGACTGACAATGCTGCTGTCCAAAGGTGTCTGCCTTACTACTTCATCCAGCATGCAGACACCTTAAGACAGGAAGAGTGTTACTGACTAGATCACTAGGTAAAATATAATGAAAAATCCTAAAAAAAAGAAAATTAATGCAGCCATTACATCTAAGAATTGCTAAACTGCAACATATTACATTTTTGTTTTGAGATTTAATACCGCTTTAAGTATACTTGAGAAGTTATATAAAGTTGACTATCTTTGTTATTTAGAGTTGCATTGACATAGAAGTCTACAGGCAGACCATATTGTCATCTTATAGAGTTCATTTGAAAAACACCTACCTATCATTTTCATGTGTCATATTTCTCTGTTTAGGTTTCATGGTGTATATTATTATGTTTTTATTTTTTTTTTTTTCAGTCCCTTTTAGCTGTGCAAAATAGTTATCGACCAGCAGAATATGTCTATTGATCAGAGGTCAAAGAAAAAACCAATACAATTGCCAGCAGAGATGATATGAAGTGGCATAAAACAATGAATGCAGTTCCAGGCAAACATATGATCAAACTAATAATAATATTCATCTAAAGATAACCCATTTTATTTTGTCTTCCTTCTCTGACTCATAATTAGGTATATCCATCCTCATTTTTAATGCCAAGTAAAAGGCTGTACATTCTTTTGAAAATAATTGACATATTTGGGATAATGCAGAAGCTTGAGACCCGTTAAATATTTTAGAACTCCTGAGGTCTAATGACAGCTGATGTAGAAATTCTGACACAGAAATGACTCTAAAGCTAAGCATTCAATTTAGCTTTGTATTAATGAAGCAAAGGGAAGAAAAATTGTCAGATTGCTTAAAATATCTTAATTCAGGGTTACCAAAGTTTCTTTGTTCACTTATTCTATAGTAAATTAAAAAATTATGTTAAAAATAATGACACAGAAGATCCAACACTTCAAATACTTGTACATTTTGCATATTCTTTTAAAAATGCCTTATTATTATGCAAAGGTGCCGATAATTCAGATTAACAATGAGGCCATCCAAGGCACTTGGGAGAAAACCCAGTTATCCTAATAGAAAGGGAATTGATATTCTTCTTAGGTATCATCAAAACACCTTTAATCAAAATGGTCCCACTAACCAATTCTAAGTAATTGGGACATTATCCATAAAAATTCAAAATTACTGTCACGCTTCAAAATAATTTAGGTCACATCTTCATTTTTCTTGTTTAGGGTTTAATTACTGTTTAATCTTGACTAGTTTATGTAAGATATCATGCTTTCCATCCATCTACAGTGTAAATTATATGTGTACTGACATAGGATTTTTGGGCAGACCATACAAAAAGGTCCTACAGTGGCAATACCACTAAAAAAAAAAATAAGCATAGGAGACCCTTGATACCACTGTCAGTGCATAATTCTGCATATGTTTGCCGTTTTAACAGCCTTAGGTTGTTTATGACCTACCCTTGGTAAAACATTTTTAGTTAACATGCAAGCTGAATAGGCAGAGGTTGCCAGAATTGTCCCCTAGTGAGATCTGCGCTAGCCTATTTTTGCTGTATTGGTACCAAAAATCGAAATTCACTAGAAATGTTTACACCGTATACAATTTCATCAGTATATGGTTTACTGCAAAGTAAAATACTTAGCATTCAATTCACTAAAGGTTACCGCATGCAATAACGCGGACACGTGAGTCATTTGCATAAATTATTGCACGAGATAATAAAAGAGTCAATTCATCAAAGTAAAATATCGAATGTGAGATAAATACTTCACATTTGTTTCACAGTGAGCTAAATACCACAAATAGTGAGCTAAATACCACAAAAAAATGAGACAAATCATTAACCACTTCCAAACCGGACACTTTTACCCCCTTCCTGACCAGGGCAATTTTCAGCTTTCAGCGCTATCACACTTTGAATGACAATTGTGCGGTCATGCAACACTGTACCCAAATAAATTTTTTACCATTTTTTTGAGACAGATAAAGCTTTATTTTGGTGGTATTTATTCACCGCTGGGATTTTTATTTTTTTTTGCTATGTAAATGAAAACGTCCAAAAATTTTGAACAAAAGTGTTTTTTTTTTTTATAAAATTTTGCAAATAAATAATATTTCATCATAAATCTTGTCCAAAATGTATTCCCTTATCTTTTTTTTTACATTTTTATTTTATTTTTTTATATTATTATTATTATTTTTTTTTACATACTGTCACCCTAGCAGTACAGTGTCACCATGGTGACACTGTACTACTTGTGGGGGGGTGATGAAGATTTTTTTTCTTTTACACTGATTGCTTTTACACCCATATAGGATGTAAAAGCAATAATTTCTCTTTCTCTCTGTGTGCATTCTTGCACTCATTGAGAAGTACTGAGTGAGCTGTGATTGGTCACAGCTTGTCTCATGGTACAAGGCTGTTGTGAATAGCCTTGTACCATGTGACCTCTGTGATCATTAACAGATTTTACACGTAGTAAGCAATGATGTCACAAGTGACATCTTGCTTACTAATTTGCATGTGATCACTGATTGGCCAATCAGTGATCACATGATCGGGACCTCGTACAGAGGTCCCGTCCGACGATCGGTGTTTCACTGTGTCCGGAGACACAGCGGGCACCGGATCGCGGTGCTGCGCGCTCCCAGGGAGCACGCACAAGCAGGGTGCGGGGAGGCCGTTCATAAACGGCCACCTGACCCTGTACTGCCACCGTCCGTCCGGCCGTTTATATACAACGGCCGGTC